TGCTAGAAACATAGTAATCAGAACCTATAAATAACAGTCAGGAAGCAGATGCTAACACTGCCTGCACTGGGCTTCAGAAAATTCATGAACTTGGTAATCAGTTTCTATATTCAGTCACAGTGGAAAAAAAAGAGCATTACAAATGAGAAGCACTTGAAAAAAATCTTTAGATGTGAACGGAAACAATTTAAAGAAAAAAAAAAAAAAAAAAGCTCTGAAGTCATTAACAGTAGAATTTATCTTAATTGCTTTTAAAATACCTGCAGTTTACCATACAGCATGAGCTTAGGAAATGCTTTTAGCGTTTTTAAATGGCAAGACCTTGATTTAGCATTCTTCTGACATCTGAAAAGCAGGATTTCATAACTGTTTCAAATGTGGAGAGCACATGCAGATTCACAGGTCATGGCCACTTGGATTCAGACAGTTTAGCATAACAATACTCCTAATTCTAATAGAAGGCACTTCAAGATAGACAGAGAGTATAAACACACAGTTTCTTCCATAAAGTCTCAGTATTCTGCTGGAAAAAAAAAGGATGGAAAATGAGATGCAATTGTGTATGTATTTTACTGATTGCCCTCCAAACACTTGTCAGTAATCTCTCACGCCCACAACAAAGGCAGTACTGGATTATTTTCTGCTCCCTTTCACATTCTCCAGGCTCTATCTTTGTATAAACAGCTACCTGCAAGAAGCCACCAGTTTCTTTCCTGCAACAGCCCTGAAACTGGAAAAATGTAAATCAAATAAAGGGTCATTGCTTTTACAGATCAGGAACAGAAGCAATTACTAACTAAACATGCAGGGCATTTTAAGTTGCTCTGGAAGACAAACAGGTATAGAAAAGCTTATTTGACAATGAGATGAGATATGCACCCACTAATCCAGTCATTTATGGAGTGGGATGAAGATGGGTTGATGAAAATCCATTTCTAGAGGTCTGCCTTCATAAGACGTATTTCAGCTTCTCACATCCTCAAATATGCCCTACGTATGAAATATAAATACAGCCTAGAATGGAGAACCCAGTACTTTTTTTTTTTTTTTTAATCTGTACCTGCCCTCATCTGGGAGTGAGGTAATCCTGAAAATACTGCTGAAAATGTCCTCGTTCATTTATTACCAGTTAGAAGCAGCTCATCTTTTGCTGGTATGTGCTGATCTTCCATTTAGTTAAAACAGTAGAAAAAGTGTGTGTGATTCATGATGCACCAATTTCACAAATTCCCTAACCTTTCCAGTCTGAGAAAGAAACATTTGAGTTGATAGATGTTCTATTACAAATGCACATATTTTCCAAGGTGAGAGGCAAATAAGCACCTTTGTGTCCAAGAGACACTATACAATCACTTTCCTAAAATGACAGAAGTGTTACTGCCAGTAACACCAGTTTTCACATGTGAATAAAGTTTTTCCCACTTCCTAAGTTCCAGATGGGCCTGAACAACTGGTACCAAACAGGAAAAGAAGGCAAGCTGCTGCTGAATCCTCCATCTTCAAGTGAAAAAGTACTGGGCTTACAGTTCTACATCATCCAGGGAGAAAGCTTCAGCTGATGAGCTCTCTTACAAGCAGAACGTAGGGTGCAGGAGGCAAGGACACAAACCTAGAAACAATATTTAGCATATTGCATCCAATCAGTCTATTTTTGCTCAATTAGTTATCAAAAACAGACGTAAGGGGAAAACAGGGTAAGAAAAGAAGACAACTGAAACAGACAGAACAAAAAGCTTTTCACACATACTTGATGTGTTCCTTGACAAAATTATTTGCGTCCATTAGAGTAATAACAATTAGTTTGTTTCCTAAGGAAAACCATTCCATCCAATTTTGAATACTAGGCGGCATTTTGCAATTTCTGCTGTCATCACTGACAGAGCAGTTTCATTAGCAGTATATAAGCCATCTGCAGGAAGTTCACCAGCAGCTGCCTCTCACCAGCAAGGATGTAAATGTGCCAAAAACAGATGGGGATGATACCCTAAGACTCACGCCAAACTAGAAACACAGAACTCATATCTGTATAGCAGTATGTGGTAAGAACCTGTTCTAAATTTATCACTGAAAGAAAAGCTCACCCATGCTATGGAAGGAGAAAAGAGTGTGCCTTGATCCTTTGCTTCAGATACTCTGAAAAGCTACCACAGTTTGGGAAGCCCCAAAACATCTGGGTCAAAGCCACTCAAAGGAGGACTCAATGACTTCTCTGAAGTTTCCTGGGTCACCCCAGATACCCAAAGGCTAACAGTGGTGAAAGACCTGCACTGTGTTCACATACTCTTTGATCAACTCAATGTGTTGTTGGTTTGGCACCACTGCTGGGGTTCGTAAAGCTGAATGCCTTTGGCATCCAAGAGACCTCATGATTTACAGTTCACAAGTGTTTCTTTTCGGTAAGGAGTCCTAGTAAGATCCTGTTATTCCCTGACAGTTCCCCAAAGGAGAGAAATGCAGGAATGGAAAATGTTACACAGCAATACTAAGATAATGCCATCTTCAAAATCAGCAAGCTGGGATGGACACTACCTGTCCATTTCAAGTATACATGTAGCTAACAGGCATTCAGTGGCCAGAGAAACAAAACTCTTTAAGAAATTACAAGCCATTAACTGTCACAAGAGAAAGCACGATTCAATCCCTACCACACAGAACATTATCTCATATGAAGAATTCATAATTCCCCATAATTCTGGGGAAAAGAAAGCAAATAATAAACAGAAGGAAGATCGGATCGGACTGCTAAAAGGCAGAAAACTCAGAAGAGAATCATCAAAATTAGAGACAAACAATACTGTGCTAACAGCTCTCCAGGTCAGTCTCATCTCAAAAGAAAAAAAAAAAAGAGGAAAAAGAAAAAAGAAAAAGCCACACAGCAAAAGGTGTGACAAAATTAAGCAAAATGAAGGAATAACAAAGGCACAGAAGCTGCCCTATTACAGAGTTTAAAGTTTCCCTAAGGAAGTCCCCAACAAACAAAAATTTTGAAACATAAGCAGAATCTCTTTCATAACAATTTTGCAAAGTACTTCAAGCTTACTTGTTATTCCTTGAGTATGAAGGAAGAAATACAAACAAAAAAACAGTACAGAAAACAGGTCTTCAGGCATCTGAAGCCAAATGCAGAGCACTAGCCTCTACTGAGATAAGCACTTTTATGTGAAGAATATTTGCATCACATCCTCTCCTATAGAGGCTTCAAGCTTTATCTTAAACCTGTAAGAAAAGTATTGTGCTCATTTTCTCAACAAACTTCAGAGATAGGGAGAATGCAGTTTGAAGCGCAATACTGCTGTGTGAAGACTAGTTCTCCTTTTATCTTTAACGAGACAAAAGATAAGAGACCATTAAAGCCCACTACTCCTCTAGTGGTGGGTGTCACAGAGAATTAACTCTTTTCTAGGTATATAAGGAAGACTTCAAGTCAAAAACAGACTGAGTTGTTCTGTGACTACCATCACTGTTCTTCATTAAGTTAAAGAGGATTGTGTGTAAATTTTATGTAGGTATAGGCCATCATCACTGTAAGGTTCTTACTGTTGACTAAAATTAGGAAAAAAATTAACACCCAGCATGACAAATGAGCTTGTTTCCTGCAGTTGCTTTTCCTTAGTGTTGCACAGCAAATAAACATTAAGATTCTACGCATTCCAGTAATCATTAACAATTATTTCAAGGTCATACGATTTTCCTTCCTACAAAAGAAAACTTCCACCTCATTATGTAACCCAGAAAAGGCTAAACTGAATCCATTTAAAGACAAACACACTCCTAGGTACTAACAGCGCTAACAAACCATAAGACAAGACATCTTCTCCAGCAGATTTTTCCATTCACACTGATTAATTTTGTGTTCTTTTATTTGCCTTTAAAAATAATCCACAGAAGCATCACTAGGCTTGGTATCAAAACATTACAACTAGTTTGACACGATAATGAAAATTACTGCAGAACTACAAGGAAATTACCCAGTCAGAAAGACTCATGCTAGGAGTTATACCTCAAATGAAACTTCTTTCATCATGAGTGATGAAAGATATCATTAGTGGCATTTTACACTATTTCAGCCTAGATGTTCAACACACACACAAACTTTACGTTACCAGTAAATACGAGCGTAAGAATGAAACACCATGACCTACTACAACTCTCTTCCTTGATCACTTTTAATACACTAAATGGCACGAAATAAAACTGAGAAGGAAAAAAAAAAATGCTGCCTTCAAGAGAGGAGGATGGAATTACTTCTAGCGCAAGGCTTCTCTCTCAGAAAAATCAGATATCTGAGAGAGAATGGCAAATTCAGAAGTTACAGACACAAAATGATAAATTCCAACTTGCATAGCTCGAATCATAAAAATCAGCAGCCTCAAAGACTTTAAACGTATAGTTAAGTTCAGGAATTCCAGCATATATTTATAAATACTGCAGTACTAATTCTGCTAAGTATTGTCTTTTTTCAGTTACTCTGAATACAGCAATTACATACTTACGTAATTCACAAATCTACTTTTTGCTTGAAAAAAAATGTTCTTACAAAATATCATATATCTTGCCTCAGTTGCAGTTGTGAAACATCACTGTGTACGAGTTTGTAACTAGTTAAACTGTTTTTTGTAACAGTTAAACTGCTTCTGACATCACTAAAGTCATCTGTAGAATAATGTAACTTGATTGGAATGTTTCTCAAAGTAAAGTGAAAATAAGCACTTCTGTCATCTTCTTTCCAGCAATCTTTTATCGTGTCACAGTGAACATGCCACATTTCAACACTAATTTTGAATGATTCTAATTACGTTACAAACAATTCCTCTATGTAAACATGCACAAAAATCTTCCACAAAACTTTACTTGGAAGTATGCCACAAGGAGCAAAACTGTGAACCATAATTAATGCATGCTCTCACCTTCAGTGGAAGTCTGGAATTCTCAAGAGTCTTTCCAACGGCAGATAAAATACCACACATGAGTGCAGAAATCAGCATCATCACTCCAACTGCAGTTAACCAGGACATACTGCAGAAATAGCATAAACTTTCTGCTGATGTGCATACAATGACGTGAACTGCACACAGCATCAGACACATCAAGTAAAACAGCAGAGAGAAGAGCGGAGGGGAGAGGGGCACTTCAAATTCTGCCCGACTGCTCAGAGCTTTTGGTACACTGAGAAAGAGTAGGAGCAAAACCTACAGGGGGGAAAAAAATAAAAACAGAGAACCGACAGGTAAAGAGTCAGAATTAGCTAAGGCATACAGCCAGAATTCACACACACAAAACTCATGCTGTGTCATCCGTGTAACTCCAATATATATACTTCATCTTACAAAAGCCATGAAACACTATGCTGGGTGATCCAACCAAAGCAAGACTTCACCATATAAAGGGGCAAAGCAAAAATAGTGCTTTTCTTTATCAGTTTAAGGGGTTGGACTCACAGTTTATCAGGTTTTAATAAATAAACAAGTGCCTCCTGACCTGCTGTGACTGACGATGTGCATGATCTGCTTTCACTTTAAGAGTTTCAACGCTCCACAGAATTAAGTGTTTTAAGTCTCAATGCCAAAATAGCTCTTGAATAAACAAATCTGACTTATTATTTATAGCCTACAAAGGCCTGAAGTGACATGCACACTCTAACAATGGTCATTTATCTCAGATTTCTTGCTGAGCCAAGTAGCTTCCCGGACCAGGGAAAATGCTCATCTTATCACGTAAGTGTATGCTGTTTTCAGAGCTTAAGAATTCTCCTGGTGTTTATTTTTGCCCCCCTCCTTATCTTAATTTGATCTACCGATTTCACTTTGCTATAGCCTGCACACCAATCACTTAGAACTCCAGGTTTTTTCCCAGGTAACTGTACCAGTGAAGATGAATACCATCATTAGCAATTTCTGCTACCTATGTGCATGTAAAGAGAAAATCCAGCCACATACTGTAAGGATGCTCTGCAAGAGGCACACACATACCTAGTAATAAACTAGGCTCAATCTGCTTGTGATAGGGCAAGTTTAAAATAAATTTAAATAAAAAACTATTCTATCAGAGGACAGCCAATCTGTAATCATTCACTTGTGAAGACCTCTACCTAAAACTCACCCATCATTACAGCTACATATAGTAAAAATTAAGACTTTAAAAAATTTTGTTACACTGCAGTTGTCTATTCACTTACATTATACCTTCCACAATTCACTTACATTTGGAAGCATGAGGTTTCACAGTATCATACTGGCTCAGGTTTTACTTTTTAATACAGGACTTAAAATTATAACAAAGCACTCAGTATACTAAAACGCCCAAATTGTAGTTATCTACAAATCTATATTTAGCTTTTTTGAGTAAACGCATGGTTATTAATGTACTAGATGTATTCTCCTCATTTAAAATATAGGATTAATAGCACTTGTAGGTTCGTGTAGTTTGAAGTCACTTGTAACATTTCCTGCCTTTATTTCTACAGTAAGGATGGAAAATACATACAGAACTGAAGGGGACTATGTGGAGCTTGCTGGGGGTCCATCCCCATGGGGATGCACAGTATAATAAAGGACTTTCCTATGACAGAGGCCTCTAGTTGTTGAACTGCGACATAAAACAAAATGATCTTGGAAAGTAGGCCAATTTCTTGAGTTTTGAATTGGAAAAAAAATAACCACACAAAAAAACAGGCTGTACTGTCTAGTTTTCCAGTGACACCAAGCAGGCTCTCATCAGGCAGACTTTTCACTGTTAGAGCTATTAGGTGAAGGTTTCCATTGATAAAGAGCCATTAACTAAAATACTGAGATCTGTTTTGTTGAAAAACTAAGCATCAACAACCGCAAAAAAAGAAATCCAGTGCTTCAGGTACAAAGTGACTGTAAAGGCTTGAATCCTTACGTTCACAAAACAAAGGAACATGAAAGGACTATAAGCACTTCAGCTTCAGAGTGGCATTGGCCATCTCTAGATTTGCTGTCCTAGAGGAGGCACAGAACCTACCATCTTGTGCCCTGTAGGGACTGTGGAACTAGCTCCTGTCAAGAGGTATGCAGTGATACAGCCCATTGAGAAAGCCATCTCAAATGTGCTCTGTGCACAACATGAGGAATACAGCCTGCAAGGGCTGAGAAGACTCAAATACAAAACAGCTACTTATCACCTGTTACCCATTCCAGCCACAGAACACAACTAGATGCATAGCTATTATACAGCCTTGTAGGTGTATATGATGCTGTATGCAGGCCAGGTATATCTGTCACAGAGAGCTAATTCTCACAGAAGTTGACAAAAATGCCACCTAAACTGTAAGTGCACGTTTTTGTATATGTGAGTGCAGGATAACTCACCAGCAAACTCACTTCTTCAAAGCATTACCACAGAGGCAATTTCCAGCACATGAGACCTCCCCAAACTATCAATTCCAAAGAATCACTTAAAATTCCAGAAACGTGATATCTTATCTTTACTCCTACAAGAGATACGGAATGGCAACTCTGCCTCTTCCAGCAAGCACTTGTTTCAGGACTACTGACTTATCAGTACCAAGAATTCTCAGAATGGTGGAGAAAAAATTGGGCATATAGGGTTTAGGTTGTTCTGAGCAGCTGTGTTTGTTGTTAGATAAAGGTGAAAAAAGTAGGAACTTCACTGCAGATTTTTTTTTTTTTTTTTTTTTTTTTTTTTTTTTTTTTTTTTTTTTA